AACGTCTGGTGTGTATTGACAATTCCTTGTTTCTGGAGTAGAACGTAGGTATGTGATGCTTTAAGACCTCCTATTCCTCCCCAATCTATGGATTTCAAGAATATTTTGGAGCTCTTTATCAGAACCAGTTTCATTTCTTGGCAGGCATAGTTCAGTACAACCTTATATTGCTACATCGAGATTTATGAGAGGTCTTGGCTTATTTATGGAGTAGGATGAATAGTTGTTAGACACTGTATCATTTTAGGATTGACTGTGTAAGGTGGTGTGGTGTTTCACAGGTTAAATTAACCTCTTTGAAAAGATATCTAAAGTTGAATGCTTCACACAACAGTAATTTTCCACCTTTCTGGGTCTTTGCACGCCTAGGATTTTTGTGTGTCTAGACACAGTTAAAAATATCACTTTATTTTTTAAAGTATGCTTTTCTTCATATTTTTCAAACATTATCACCATAAAGGAAATGTCCTAGAAAATGGAAGTGAACATTCTCATGTGATTTACTAGAATTCTTCAAATAAGTCTCTGTCTGTAAATCAAATATAGTGAACTGATGGAATACCTTTAAATATCTCATAAAGGAAATGTCAGAAAGAACAAATCCTTTAGTTATGGGTATTGTATGTTCAGCATGGAACCGAAACTGCCCGTAGAGTGCTGCAGAGAGACATGTCATTACTAGTTGCACGAAAGGTGGTTCTGGACAGAGACACGGATGTGTGATTCAAGCAGTGTCAGATCGGGCTAGAGCGGGGTGACTACCTGCTCAAGTGAGATGACCTGAGAGGCTCCTCACAGCCCCATGTAGACACCAAATAACCTTGTTAATTGTCATGGTTCCTCCTGTCTTCCTTTTACACCTGAAATTCTCTCTTTGATCCGTTCATATGGGTTATCTGGCAAAGCAGATGAATACATGAGATGTGACTCTAGCAGGACTCCCGTTCTCCGGGCTGGAAAACCAGTCCTGCTAGTCTGCGGCAGCACCGGCTGAGAAGGAAAGAGCCAGGGGCGGCCCCGCGCTGTTCGTGAGCTGTTGCTCCGGAGAGGCGAGAGTTGGGGCCTGGAAGGGGAGCTTGGAGCCTGTCCTAGGTCCCGAGGGTGGGAGGAAGTCACAGGAAGGATAAGGCGCGGAGCCTTCACAGCCAGGGCTCCTGTGTAGGCAAGGCTGGGCAGCGTCCGGTCACCGAGGCAGGAGCCCGAGGTCAGCCAGGCAGGAGGGGATCGGGTGCCATTGCCCCGGGAAGGCTTCATGCGGAAGCTCCTCTTTCTCTTTTCCTCTCGGCCTCTCCTGGTCCTTACGAGGCTTGGGCAGGGACACTCTAACCTGCCAGCTCTTCACTTTCAGTTGCAAGAGATGGAGCCACGGTGTCTCAAGTGCAGGAAACCGCAGATACGTGGATTTTATTTGCTTTATTCTTCCTAAAAACCCCTTGGAATTTTTAGAAAAGCCCATATAGACCCCCAGTTTCCGCTTGAAGCCCTGACGTGGGGCCACAGCACCCCTCAGAGGCGGATGCCACCCGCTAAAGGTGGGCTGAGGGGTGGCCTGTGGCGCTGTCTGTGGGTTGGGTGACGCACCTCCATCAAGGTGACTTACTGCGGTAACTGTGCTTGAGTGATCCTCGCAGTTCACATGGATAGAGCTTAAATAGAATGGGGGGAGATAGTTCCGCTGAATTGCATGTTTTTAAAGTTAGCATCAGTACTGCTTAGAACTTTATGGCAACGTCTGTTTTTGCACTGAAGGGTCTTTGCGGCGCCTTGGCTGTGCAGACTCGGCTGCGCCTCCTTAAATGACTTACCGCTAAATTACTCGGAAGAGGGCCGCCTCGCAGGTCACAGCAGCTGCGCTGCTGCCATCTAGCGGACAGTTCGTGCAATTACGCATTCTTTGGCTTGCCGGCTTCCCAACAGGCGACTAGTAGATTCTGTTTTTGAATCGAACACTGTCACAGCTACTTTCGTGTATTATGCTGGATATGGAATCCTGTTTTCCTTGACTCCACATGGAAAATAATGAGGTCATGTTTTGCTTTATGATTTTAAAGTAAGAAACGCCCCCCAAATTAAAATCTAAATATGTATCATTACATTTTAAAATTTGAACTGTGCTCAGTATGTTTGCTCCTTGGACGAAAACCTATGACAAACCTAGACAGAGTGTTAAAAAGTAGAGACATCACTTTGCCGACAAAAGTCCATGTAGTCCAAGTTATGGTTTTTCCAGTAGTCATGTATGGATGTGAGGATTAGACTATAAAGAAGGCTGAGTGATGAAGGGTTGATACTTTTGAACTGTGGGACTGGGGAAAACTCTTGAGAGTCCGTTGGGCACCAAGAAGATCAAACCAGTCAATCCTAAAAGAAATCAACCCTGAATATTCGTTGGAAGAACTGGTGCTGAAGCTCCACTATTTTGGTCACCTGATGTAAAGAGCTGACTCACTGGAAAAGACTTTGATGCTAGGAAAGATTGAGGGCAAGAGGAGAAGGGGGCAACAGAGGATGAGATGGATGGATGGCATCACTGACTCAATGGACATGAGTTTGGGCAAATTCCGAGAAACAGTGAAGGACAGAGAAGCCTGGTGTGCTGTGGTCCACGGCGTGGCAAATAGTTGGACACGACCGAACAGCTGAACAACGACAACACTGCTCCGCATTATTAGCACATTCAGTTTTAATTCTGGAAAACTTCATGTCATATTTGATGTACAAGTCAGAGTTATTTTTGCCTCTTTTATTTTAGGCCCAGCTAGTTCAGTCAGGGTCCCTGGCACCTTCCTATTTCACTTCCAGTTTACTTCCACACTGTAGCCTGATGGTGTTTTTTTTTTTTTTTAACCCAAGACTCTGATCATGTCATTTAGAATTTAACATCTTCAATGGCTTCTCACTGTCTCTTAAAAATTTTATTTAAATTTTTAATTTTTGGCCATGCTGTGTGGCATGTGGGTTCTTAGTGCCCCAACCAGGGATTGAACCCATGCACCCGCATGATCACCAGGAAAGTCGCTTATTGCTCTTTTTTAATTGAATGAAAGGTTCTTAAACTCTGTACTGTTTTACAGGTTTCAGAAGTTTCACACACGTGATTTCATATAATCCCATAATAACCCCCTTTCCTCCTACACTTAAATTACCCCTCCCCGCTCCCCTCTCCCCAGTAGTAACCACTAGTTTGTTCTCTGTTGTCTGTGAGTCTGCTTCTTTTTTGTTTTATTCACTAGTTTGTTGTATTTTTTCTAATTTATTTTTTATATAAGTGATATTGTACAATATTTGTCTTTCGCTGTCTGACTTATTTCACTTAACATAATGCCCTCCGTATCTGCCATGTTGGTGCAAATGGAAAAATTTCATTAATGTTTGTGAATGAGCTCTATTCCGTTGTATGTATGTACCACATCTTTATTTTTTCGTCTGTTGACAGACACTTAGGTTGCTAGTATACTGGCAATTGTAAATAGTATTGCTGTGAACCTGGGGGTGGGATGTATCATTTCACGTTAGTGTCTGTATTTGTTTGGATATATACCCAGGAGTGGAATTGCTGGGTCATATGGTAGTTCAGTTTTTAGTTTTTTGAGAAACTTCCATACTGTTTCCACAGTGGCTGCACCAATGTACATGCCCACCAGCTGTGTAGGAGTGTTCCCTATTCTCCACGTTCTTGCCAATACTTGTGATTTGTGTTCTTTTATGTTAGCCATTCTGACATGTGTGAGGTAATACCTCATTGTTTTCACTTGCATGTCCCTGATGATTAGCGATGTTGAGCACCTTTTCATATTTCTCTTGGCTGTCTGCATTTCCGCTTTGGAGAAATGTCTGTTTCATTCTTCTGCCCATCTTTAATCCAGTTGTTTATTTTTTGTTGTTGAGTCTTATATATGTTGGGTATTAGCCCCGCATCAGTCAGATGATGTGCAAATATCTTCCCCCATTCATTGGGTTGTCTTCTTGTTTCATTGATGGTTTTCTTGGCTGTGCCAAAGCTTTTAAATTTAGCTAGGTCCCATTCGTTCCTTTTTCCTTTGCTTACTTATCTATGGCAAAGGAGGCAAGAATAGACAATGGAGAAAAGACAGTCTTTTCAATAAATGGTGCTGGGAGAACTGGACAGCTACTTGTGAAGGAATGAAATTAGAGTGTTCTCTAATAACATATACAAAGATAAACTCAAGATGAATTAGAGACCTAAATGTAAGACTGGATACTATAAAACTCCTAGAGGAAATCACAGATGCACTGTTTGACACAAACTGCAGCAGTATTTTTTGGATCCATCTTGTAAGGATCTAAAATGCTTCTCTTTGTTCTTAGACCATTGCTCCAAGTCCTTAACCTGACCTCTAAACTCGCCTGATATGATCCCCAGCTCCCTCCTCAGCCCTTACACCTGCCCCATCTTCCCTCAATTCTCCGAATTCCACCCTTTCTGGCTTTCTTCTTACATCTTCTGCATAGTTACTAGTGCCTGGAAGGGGTGTTCCGTTCACCCAGATAATTGTTCTTCAGTTTTCAGCACTTCCTGAGCTTTCTCCTCTAGTTCAGTGATATAAATTAAATCACTAGCTATTACACAAGAAGTTAGGTCATTATTCGTTTCATGTCTGTCATCTCAAATGGCCTACGCAACCGTTGAGGGCAGGCATGTTCTCTTTCTTCTTCGTTGCTCGGTCCTCAATTGCTTAGCAAAGTACTTGGCATGTAGTAAACAGCTCAGAAAATAACTTGAATGAGCTGATGTGAAAGCTGAACTGTGACGGGATCGATTCACCTGTCCCATGTCTTACAGTCCTGAATTTCTCCTACTTCTCCTTCCTCATCAGCCCCCCACTGTGACCTAGACATCTCTGCAATCTGCCGTGATTGGCAGTACACCAGCGACTTCAGCTGCTTGTAGGCTGACTTGCGTCATTGGTGGTGTGCAGCTTGCTCAGCCATTTGTTCATGCCTTTTCCCCCCAATGAAACAGACAGTCTGTCAGGTTCTTCAGTTATACCGATTCACTTTTATTATGATCAATATTAAAGATCCAAGTAGCTTAATAGACCCAGAAGCTTAAAAGAAAGATGAGGATCAGGAAAAAACATCCAAGCCCACAAAAGTAGGAATTCAGGATAGAAGAAAAACAGAACAAATATTCAGAAATCAAGCTCTTAGCACTCTGGCTCAGTAGAGATGTTCCAGGACATAGCTGGTAACGTACTTGATGGCCAGCATTGTCTCCTCACAGGTTGCCTGGATCTGGGATTCAGGGAGGAGAAAGCCGTATCTGCCTTTATCCCGGAGTTCAAATGTGAAGGAATATTGGATTCCTTGGTCATAAGCCCAGTCATCAGAGCCCCCAGCAGCAGGATCTGAAATGAGCAAATCAAAGGGGAAGAAACACTTTAGGAAGGAGATTTAAAATCACGCCAGCTTTCTTTTATAATTACCAATGCTTCACCGCACTAGATAGAACAGGTAGGGAAATTTTCTAGTCACCAAGACCACAAATCTACGGGGCTGTTTTAAAGGTTAGTGCAACCTTATCTCTTGGTAAGAGTACCTCTTACTGCTACATGGTAAGAGTGATGTGTTTAATACTTCAGGATGTGATCAGTAGTATACATATATACTCAGGGTGCTTCTCTGCTGTGGTAAACTGTCTCACTTACATAGTGTGTGAATTGTTTACAACATATATATAGTTTCTGGGAAAATGATGTGTATCTCTTAGAAAAATAAGGAAAACTGCGTGATGATTGGTGAGAGGAGAGGACTTTGAGCCTCGCTGAAACTACTGAATGATGGAGCTGGAGCAGCTGAGGGCAGAGCCTGGTCTTCACTTTTGTTTCTTTGGGATCTAGCATATGGCCTGGCCTGGATTAGATATTCACTCGGTTATTCATCCAGCAACAGTTATGGTGTCATTCATTTATTCAGTCACTTGTTCATTCATTCGTTCAGTCCCAGTTGTACAGTTCTCATTGAACAGCAGGCAATGTGCTCAACTTTGGAGACACTAGGACAAAGGAAAGACATGACCCCTGCCTTCCAAGGGCTTATGGTATTATGGAAAAAGAAATCTCAACGAACTGGCCTGAATAAAACTTCTATGACGTTCACAGTGTGTGAATAGATGAGTTATTTCTAATAGAACCCCCTTAAGAAAATTGTATACCCCGTCTGATACAGAGAAGTTTAATAAAGGACAAAAATACAGAAAACTGTATTCTACATGAAACTTTTTTAAAAAAAAAAACAAAAAACAAAAAAACCTCATGATTGGAGCCTCTCCATATGCATTGAAAGCCATTGATGGTGAGGCCGGCCGTTTTCTCCCTTACATTTCTGGTCCTTTAAGGGCTGGGGCAGAAAAAAATCTTGCAAAGGCAAATATATGTAGAAACTGAAGATGGAACCTGCAGTATGTGCCTTCTCAGTGAAATCAAACTGTAGCACCAAGGCCCTGGCGGCCAGCCCACAGCTAACGCTTTTGCCACTTGCTTGCACCCCATGCGAACAGCTTAAGCCTTAAGTGGTCCCTTTGAAACTTCAGTCTGTTTAGCCAGGAAAACCTTCCCTCTATTGCTTTTCCTCAGCAACTGTCCTTCCAGATAGAGCTTCTGCGTCATCGTCCTGGGAAACCATTCCCGACCCTGCAGGCCGGGCTGGTTCGTCTTTGGGTGTGCTCAGTTCTTGGCCATCCTTCTGTCTCAGCACTTGGCACCTGTGTGGCCATGACCTCTTCCTGCTTCCCTGCTGTGGGCTCTTGGAAGATGGCTCTGGGCTCCCTCCTTCCCTTTTCCTTTCCTCCTGCCTGCCTTCCTCCACTAGCACCTCTTGAGGGCCTGGCGTGGGGGCAGGTGCTCAGTAGGTGTTTACAGAGAGCAGACGTGTCCATGAGTTGAAAGGGATATTCCCTGCCCGGTTCTGTCTTCTAAGCAGAAAACTGATGACACGTTTTATAAACCATTCACTCTCAGGCAAAAGTCGCGCGCTTCAAATGACAGAAAGGAAAGACCCTGGGGACGGCGTGGCCCTTGCGTAGCTCTGACTTACAGATGGTGGAGGCTCCTGGGCCGTAGGTGTACGAGGTACCGTGCAGCGTGGCCAGCTCCTTCACGGCAGCCTTGGCTAGGGCGTTCTGCAAGAGAGCCAGTGGGCCGTGAGTGAAGGAGCGGAGCGCGCCCTGCAAGCAGACCCCGGCCGTGATTCTAAGACATGGAAGACGGAGGAGTCACAGCTCGGGTTAGCGTCTTAACCTTATTCAGGGCCGGCCCCGTTTCGCAGGGAATCTGGTCGCACAGTCCACGTGGCTCTGGTAGGAGCAGGTCTCCCCTAAGCCGCCCCGCGAGCCCCAGGCTGAGCTCCCGGCGGTCGCACGCGCGGAGCGGGCCGTGCTGCGCCGGGCCGTCAGCGGCCCTCACCTTCCCAGCGCCTGCTCCTGCCCGTCGTTCCCAGCGCCTGCTCCTGCCCTCACGTTCCCAGCGCCCGCTCCTGCCCTCAGGTTCCCAGCGCCTGCTCCTGCCCTCAGTTCCCAGCGCCTGCTCCTGCCCGTCGTTCCCAGCGCCTGCTCCGGCCCTCACGTTCCGAGCGCCTGCTCCGGCCCTCACGTTCCCAGCGCCCGCTCCGGCCCTCACGTTCCCAGCGCCCGCTCCTGCCCGTCTCGGCCTTCCCGGGGCCGTGCGCGCGCTCAGGCGCGTCTGCCCCTGTGGACTGCGCAGCCCCGCAGGCTCTCTGGACCCGGGATTCTCCAGGCAGGAATATTCGAGTCGGTGGCCGTGCCCTCCTGCAAGGGGTCTCCGACCCTGAGACCGAGCGCTGCTGTTGCATCTCCCGCGCCGGCGGGTGGGCTCTTCACCGCCAGTGCCGCCCGGGAAGCCCCGTTAGTGGTTCCTCAGTAACCGTAGTTTAGAAACTCTGAGCGTGAGAAGCACGCTTCCTGCCGCATTATTTGAGAGTTAGGTACTTACATTTACTCTGAATCACTGTTGGGAGTAAAATTTGGGTGTTAGTTGCTCAGTCGTGTCTGACTCTCTGCGGCCCCAGGGACTGTCCCCCGCCAGGCTCCTCCGTCCAGGGGGTTCTCCAGGCAAGAATCCTGGAGTGGGTTGCCATTTCCTTCTCCAGGGGATCTTCCTGACCCAGGGACTGAACCTGGATCTCCTGCGCTTTAGGCAGACGCTTTACGGTCTGAGCTCCCAGAGTGGACAATTCTAAGGAGGAGTGTCGTTCCAGCGTGGGAGATTTCTTTAGCGTGAAAAATTAGAGAGCACTTAGTTTATTTCAAAATGCAGAACATTTCAATCCCAGAATTAAGAAAAGTAGTGCGTGCTAATTTATTTTTTCTTAGAAGCAGCATCACCTTATTGCCTTCCTGGCCCCTCCACCAGTTCCCCAGGGAGAAGGGCTCTGCCCGCAGCTCCTCCCGATGTGCTAAAGTCTCCAGTGTGTGCTGAATCACTTGAAAAGCAAGGCTTGACTTAGCTGTCTGGAGAATACAGATTGGTGGATCTGATTGTTTACTGCAGGAGAATTAGACATAATTCATTCTGGCTATGAAACTAGCTGTATTTCATACTTTGGCGACATAAGTATCTTGTACATATGCCTGAAAAACTGTGAGGTTGGTGATGACATCAGAATAATTCCATTTTTAAAAAGTAGAAACTTCCCTTACTCCCTGCTCTAATATTAAAACCAGTTTAGTAAAGTCTTAGGTTAAATTGATGAGGGCGTGACTGTAAGACTTTAAGAATTTCAGCTCCCAAAGCATGAATGCTTCACTAATCAAGTGGTAAATTTGAAAATTTTAAAAGAATTATAAACCATGATCTAAAGCCTGATTTTCTGGTCTGGTCCACTGAAGTGATGCAATCAGTTTCTTGGAACTAACTTATTAGAGTTTTGAGACAGAAACTTGAACTCAAATTTCAGGGTTTCACTTCCCCTTCTTCCAAACTGGTAAAATAATGCGTGCTTTCTCATCCTGTGTGAAATCTTTCCTGTTGTGATCCAAAGGTACTGTCCGTTGTTTAATCTTATTCTAACCAGCATACTAGACTTGGGTCTTCTCTCCATCCTTTAGTATAGGGTCTATTGCCAATTGAGATCAGAATACTCTGTAAACATTACACAATACTGAGAATACATTTAAAACCATCTTTTAGAGATGCGAAACATGGTGAAGTACTAGGTTTTTTTTTTTTTTTTGCTAGATAACAGCATGTGGTGTTTAGTCACTAAGTCATGTCTGACTCTTGTGACCCCATGGACTGTAGCCTGCCAGGCTCCTCTGTCTGTGGGATTCTCCAGGCAAGAATACTGGAGCGGGTTGCCATTTTCTTCTCCAGGGGATCTTCCCAACTCAGGAATTGAACCTGGGTCTCCTTGCATTGTAGGCAGATTCTTTACCGAGTGAGCTACAAGGGAAGCCCTAGATAAATCGCATATTTCCTACAGTTCTACAGTTTCCTTAACTTTTGATCCAACCAAGGAAATTTCTATTATTTATTTTTCTGTAAGGCAGAACCTCTGATCCTAAAGAACTCTTATTCCTTCTCTAGCTGTCTTCCTCAGGCTTTTCTTCTGTTCTGCTTCCCAACCCCACCTTAAGCCATGAATTCTTACTTTTAGTTAGTAGAAATAAGATTCTAATAAGTTCCAGGCATGTAATGTATAGCATTGTGACTATAGATAGCAAGACTTCATTGAATACATGAAGATGGCTATGAGATCAGAGCTTTAGTGTTCTCACTGTAATAACAAAATGACAATTATGTGAGATAGAGAGTATGTAAATTAATTAAACTTTTTGCAGTATTTATATTATCAAATCATCACATTGAGCACCTTAAATTTAATTTATTTTAGCTCCGTAAATCTGGAATAAAGGAAATTCTTTACGATTAGTTACAAATGTGAAAAGTTATGATGACTTTAGGTGATTTAAGACAAGATCATTGTCACTATCTCTTGATCTCCTGCATGTCAGATGACCTTCAAAGTCTCTCCGTATTTCTATTGGTATAATGTAATATTTGAGTTATCTGGCAAAATCAAAGAGGCTTACTTGTGATCTGTTATCTCTTTTGATTTATCAACTTCTCCATTTAGTCATAACTACCATTAGGGCCACATAAAAATGTTTGGTTTCCTTTCCTCAAAGAAATAACCAAGTGCCATCTAAGCCTTCAGAGACAACTTTTGCAAACAGCTGCTCTGCCTCCAATGCCGAGATCATACCTAAGATCGATGTTGACTTAAACCAGCTGTTATTTTGCTCTTGTCGCTGGTGCCCATTGAGGGAGCATTTAGTTTGTGTCTCGGCCTTGGCTTTCCTTGTCCTCAGTTGCTGTCTGCCTCCTCACTCACCTTCCGACCACCCCCTCATCAGCGCATCCTTGAATGGCTCTCTCGCCTTCCCGCGTGAAGTCTGGCCATGCATCACTTGCGGTGCATCCCCCCCTTCTCTCCAAGCCGAGTCGCCCTGAGCTGCTCCCGTCCTGCTGCCTGCCTCTCCTTACCTCCATGGCTGTGGGTGTCCTCCCCTTGCAGGAATCCTCTGGCCCTTTGTGTTCACGGGTTGAATTGCGGCTGTTCTTCCAGATTCAGCCTAAACGTCACCTTCTTTGCCAAGCTGCCCCCGGCTCTGTGAGCAGCAGCAAGCCCCTCTTCTTTGTGAGCGCTCAGATCTCCATCAGAGTTCCTGTCACCGTGTGCTGTCCTCGTTAGCTTTGCATCTGTTTGTCCCCCAGTGGAGCTTTGGGAGGGGTGGTGGTGGGGGAGAAGGATTCTCGGCTGTTCGTTTTGTATCCTGAGCAGATTGCATAACACCTAGCACAGGGTTGCTTGACTGATTCTCTTCCCAGGGCTTCAGGTGGGCATGGTCTGGTTGGGGGTGCAGAGTGCCGGGCTCTCCAGAGGCTGGACTGTGACCCCTGCCCCTCCCCGCAACCTGGGTGGAGATTGAGGATGCTTGTGGGGAGAGTGGTCGTACCATGTAGTGGTATTTGATGGGTTAGTCTATTTAGACATTGACCTCTGCTATGCACTTAGCTTATTTCCTTTCATAAAAAAAGTAGATTCTGTGGACCCTTTCTTTCAGCCCCTCTAAGGCCAAGAGACAAAAAAGTCAGAACAGACATTAATCAACCAAAATGTCATATTTTAAATTCCAGTTATGGTAACAAAAATCTCTGGAATCATTGTGAGTCTTTTCTTTTGAAGAGTTCAAATACTTTCACAAATGTTACTCATTTATCTTCCCAACATTATCTGTCCACATTTCATCAACACAGAATTTTCTAGCAGAATGGAATGCCACGTGGGGCAGCATGCTTGATGAGAAGGTTCCAGCCAAGCTGGATGACTGACCCCTGCCTGTCAGGAATGGTGGAGAGGTGATTCCTGAATTTGCTAGAATATTAGAGAAGGTAACTCCTTTTCCTTGTACGTTTCTGTAGAAAGGGACTAAGACAGCTGACAGAAGTCCAGCAGAAACAATAGTATATCAGAGACCATGATTCATCTCTTGAAACTCTAATTAATGACACTTTCTATATAACCTGTTATTTAACGCAGACCTCATATCCTCAATGGGTTCAAAATAAGAACTAACATTTACATAAAACCTTAGACTTACAAAGAGCTCTTGCTAAGAGCTAGATATTTTTATCCCCATTTTACAGATAAAAGAACTGAAACTCTGAGAGGATGAAAGAACTTGCCCAAGGGCACGCAGCCCTGCCAGTGGCTGACTTGAGCTGGGTTCTTCTTGCTTTAAATCCCGTGCTCTTTTTCACTTCTCCTTGTGGCCTTGGAATACTTCAAAAGAAGCGTTGCTCGAGCTGGTTTTACCAATTGTAAAGAACAGAAGGAAGCTAAATATAAACCAGTCTGAGAGAAAACTTTGCTTTCAGTCCAGGCCAAACATGGCCAGCCTTTATTCATCCTTAGTTAGGAGTTTCCTAGCACATCTTATGCATGCTTTCTTTTGTCACTTGTCTTCTTAAAAAGAGGCCTTGGTCATAGAGCAAGAGACAGAGTCTAGAATGTCACATCCGACTCAGAGCCCAAGGGACAAAGGGCCGCCTGCTGCAACGCCTCCCCAGGCTCTGAGCTCCGGGGCGCTGGCGAGATGAG